ATTAAATCCTCCCAGTAGGTACTAGAGGAGTTTCTTGCACACATGACCGAAACGTTGAAAAAGACACGTGTGTATACAGGTCAGGACATATATTAGAAGAAACGTTTCACCATGAGTGGCTTCATCAGTCCTTCCTCAACACTAATGAAGCCATTCGTGACGAAAACGTTTATTTTAGTCAATATTCTGAACTATGTACAAGTGTCCATACCCCCGCTGTGTCAGCCTCACCACACTGATTACCACTAACACCCGAGTGTGGTCTTACACACCATAGCTGTGTTTAATGTTGTCTTACACAGCTTAGCTGTGTCTAATGTTGTCTTACACACCATAGCTGTGTTTAATGTTGTCTTACACAGCTTAGCTGTGTCTAATGTTGTTTTACACACCATAGCTGTGTTTAATGTTGTCTTACACAGCTTAGCTGTGTCTAATGTGGTCTTACACACCACAGCTGTGTCTAATGTTGTCTTACACACCATAGCTGAGTCTAATGTTGTCTTACACAGCTTAGCTGTGTCTAATGTTGTCTTACACAGCTTAATTGAGTCTAATGTTGTCTTACACAACTTAGTTGAGTCTAATGTTGTCTTACACAGCTTAGCTGAGTCTAATGTTGTCTTACACAGCTTAACTGAGTCTAATGTTGTCTTACACAGCTTAGTTGAGTCTAATGTTGTCTTACACACCATAGCTGAGTCTAATGTTGTCTTACACAGCTTAGCTGTCTAATGTTGTCTTACACAGCTTAATTGAGTCTAATGTTGTCTTACCCAGCTTAGTTGAGTCTAATGTTGTCTTACACAGCTTAGCTGAGTCTAATGTTGTCTTACACAGCTTAATTGAGTCTAATGTTGTCTTACACAGCTTAGTGAGTCTAAAGTTGTCTTAACACAGCTTAGTTGAGTCTAATTTGTCTTACACAGCTTAGCTGAGGGCTAATGTTGTCTTACCAGCTTAAATTTAGGTCTAATGTTGTCTTACACAGCTTAGTTGAGTCTATTGTTGTCTTACACAGCTTAGCTGAGTCTAATGTTGTCTTACACAGCTTAGCTAAGTCTAATATTGTCTTACACAGCTTAGCTGAGTCTAATTTGTCTTACACAGCTTAGCTGAGTCTAATGTTGTCTTACACAGCTTAGCTAAGTCTAATGTTGTCTTACACAGGTTAATTGAGTCTAATGTTGTCTTACACAGCTTAATTGAGTCTAATGTTGTCTTACACAGCTTAGCTAAGTCTAATGTTGTCTTACACAGGTTAATTGAGTCAAATGTTGTCTTACACAGCTTAATTGAGTCTAATGTTGTCTTACACAGCTTAGCTAAGTATAATGTTGTCTTACACAGCTTAATTGAGTCTAATGTTGTCTTACACAGGTTAATTGAGTCTAATGTTGTCTTACACAGCTTAGCTAAGTCTAATGTTGTCTTACAAGGTTAATTGAGTCTAACGTTGTCTTACACAGCTTAGCTGAGTCTAATGTTGTCTTACACAGCTTAATTGAGTCTAATGTTGTCTTACACAGCTTAGTTGAGTCTAATGTTGTCTTACACAGCTTAGTTGAGTCTAATGTTGTCTTACACAGCTTAATTGAGTCTAATGTTGTCTTACACAGCTTAATTGAGTCTAATGTTGTCTTACACAGGTTAATTGAGTCTAATGTTGTCTTACACAGCTTAGCTAAGTCTAATGTTGTCTTACACAGCTTACCTGATTCTAATGTTGTCTTACAGAGGTTAATTGAGTCTAATGTTGTCTTACACAGCTTAGCTAAGTCTAATGTTGTCTTACACAGCTTAATTGAGTCTAATGTTGTCTTACACAGCTTAATTGAGTCTAATGTTGTCTTACACAGCTTAATTGAGTCTAATGTTGTCTTACACAGCTTAGCTGAGTCTAATGTTGTCTTACACAGCTTAGCTGAGTCTATTTTTTTCTTACACAGCTTTGATGAATCTTACAGGTTTATCATGTAACTCATACCCATCAAGTGGGCAGTAGTCATAGGATTACAGAGGCACATAATGGGTCTAGGACTCAGACACCAACACTGGTACTTGATAAACAAGTTACACTGGTCATAAATTGCATTATTTACAAATTTACCGAACTGAGAACAATAGTACTAACTTAACACAATCACTGATTCAACCACAAAACATTTGTCTCCTGCGTTTGTGTCTCCAGGTGGGTTATTGTGGAGAACTAGGATTCGTTACACTTCAGTTATTCATTAAACGTAGTTCTGCATTATTCAGGGGTTATTGAAAATAGGCAGTCGGGGTATTTTTCCCAGAATGGCTGGAAACCTTTCACTCTGAGTAAAATAGTTTGTTTCATGAACATTTTTTGAGTTGGTCTCCGAATTCATTATTTCTTTTTCGTTTCCGCATCCCGGGACATGATAATGCAAGGTGTGAAAATAGTTCCTCTGGCAAAGTTTACATATAATTATGTCTACATCAAGTGGTGGTGCAAACTCCCAGAAGTATTTGTAGCCCAGGTGGAGTCTGACAGTAGTGACACACAAGAGTCTTGCTGGATGCTCTGTAGGCATGTTGCTCCTTCAGTCCTTCAGGAAGAGGGATTGATTGGTGTCATTCTTCTTCTGTCTTAAGTTAGTGAAGTTCAACTGAAGTCATTTACGCATTATTGTCCTCTACTAACTTCTTAATGACATACGCCTTACCAATTCACCAGTTCTGTTTAATATTTGAAGGCCAATGTGAGGGGGGAATCCACAAAAGATGTAATCAGATTGCAATGTCCACAATTCAAACATATCTCTGTTTGACTTCTGATGCGATCAAGTCACAACTGACACTCGTGGAGTTAAGAGGATTTATGGTTGATAATGAATCATAGTTAAGGCGTCACTTTTCGATAAATGGACACATCTGAGTACAAGAAGATTTCTCATGGGATCATTTTGCACACAGGATGACACTCCAGAGTACGTACCAACATGCTGTTTTCTCTGAATACCACCCCCAACAGTCGGCTAGCACACAGGTGCCTATTTTTACTGCTATTTTAGAGAAAAAAGATCAACAAACAAGAGACAAGGTTGAGATTCAGTAATCAAATCACGTCCCTCGAAGTGAATACGACTTGAATCCACAATTATTGATTCCATTAATTTTCCTACCGCTGAGGGTCCCTGTGGACGTGGGCGGGTGTCTTCTCAATACATCGTTTGCATTGGATTCTCTTGAACTCATCCTGAATGCTCTCTGATCTCCACCATCGTTCTTATGTCCAAGGAGGAAGGAATCGTCAAACGAACTGCCAATCAGAACTTAACATTTCTCTCTTTTTTTCTCTCTTCTTCTCTCTTTCAGAATAGTCACAGAGATATCGCTAGGCTTGACTCTCTTCGGAGCCGGCACAGTGTACCTGCTGTTGATATCACAGCTGGTATATGACCTGCTGGCGCAGCTGGTGCCTAACATCTCCCAGTGTGCCTGGTGCCTCATCATAGGACTGACACTCATTCCCTTCACCTGGCTTGCCACCCCCAAGGACTTCTGGTAAGAAGTATTTTTTTTAACGTTGAAGACGTTGTTTTTATGGGAGTTGTGTCATTATAGATAATGAATGACTCAACTGCTTACTCATTCACTGACTCACTCACTTACTCACGTTCATTTATTCACTCACCATCACCACCGTCCATCAAACACCTTTAATTGATCATATATGTGCAGTGTGTTACCGGGTGTCAAAGGCACTTTTCGAGAGACACTTGACCTGTCGTGTGTGTGTGTGTGTGTGTGTGTGTGTGTTTGTACCTAAGAGGTTAGGGCTCCAGCTCCTGGCCCCCGCCTCTCAACCTTGCATTACCTCACACAGTTACATACATAATACATACATACACAGTATACCTCAAAAGAGAATTGACATCGGCTGTTCCTCCGTTTACAGAGCGTTAAAAATGCAGACGAATGATCAGTGAGAGTGGCAAAGGAGGAGGAGGAGGAGGAGGAGGAGGAAGAAGAAGGGGAAAAGGAGAAGGAGGAGGAAGACGATCAGATGCAAATATTCTTATTGACACACTGTTCTTGAGGTATCTATTGACAATCGATAATTTTAAAAGGGGTGGAATGGTAAGCCAGCGGAATGAATCGGTCATATGATCGAAAGCTCCAGCGGTGGGTCATCATATAACTAAGACGCGCGTCAGGAAACACTTGTCCTGTTTCCTGACCAACCTTACCTAACCTAACCCGTATCTACACTTGAGGGCACCGTAATATATAGACTATGCTAGTCCATTTATAGACAGGCTCCCTGGCCAAGCCTTAAGTCACGTGACCCCTGTTTGAACCAGGCACCTAGGTGCCAGGCCTCTCCCTCATTCTCGACCAGGCCTAGCAGACAAGCAGACGGACAGGCTCCGCCACAATTATCAATACAACGCTTCTATAACACTCAGTATCTGTTTCCTTGCTACCATCGCTTCTCCTATCGAAGCCCCTAAGCAGAAAACGTTGAGAAGACTACGAACAGAGACGGTCTCTAGGCAGGTTTAAACAATTTGTGTCGACGCTGTGAAATGAGTGGCTATTGAAGCTAAATCCCAACAAGCACAAGGTTATTCAATAGAGAGATAGAGAAGAAAGACCGCAGACGGAGTACAGACTGAGAGAAATGAAGCCATAAATATCAGTGAAAGAAAAGGATCTGGGAGTAAACATCACACCAAACATATCACCGGAGAAGAACATCACCCGTGTACCTCCCGCAGCTTATGCGAGGCCAGAAAGCCTCAGAACAGCCTTCACGAACCTCATTAAACGAAATCCTTTAGACATGACATACAGACAGATGGTATCAGCCTGGAGCCCCCAGCTGATCAAGCAAGTTCGAAAGCATGAATAAGAATAGTGTCAGAAACTGAGGGTGCTCGCTGAGAGACAATCTGCAACCGAACTTCTTATCTTTATAGGAGAGAGGAGACATGATCAGAGCGTACAAGATACTCAAAGTAAAAGATGTTGGGATACCTTTACCATGAAAAAAAAGATATTGGGATACCTTTATCATGAAAAAGGGATGTTGGGATACCTTTACCATGAACAAAAGATGTTGGGATACCTTTACCATGAAAGAAAGATGTTGGGATACCTTTACCATGAAAGAAATATGTTGGGATACCTTTACCATGAACAAAAGATGTTGGGATACCTTTACATTGAAAGAAAGACGTTGGGATACCTTTACCATGAAAGAAATATGTTGGGATACCTTTACCATGAACAAAAGATGTTGGGATACCTTTACATTGAAAGAAAGACGTTGGGATACCTTTACCATGAAAGAAATATGTTGGGATACCTTTACCATGAACAAAAGATGTTGGGATACCTTTACAATGAAAGAAAGACGTTGGGATACCTGTACAATGAAAGAAAGACGTTGGGATACCTTTACAATGAAAGAAAGACGTTGGGATACCTTTACAATGAAAGAAAGACGTTGGGATACCTTTACAATGAAAGAAAGACGTTGGGATACCTTTACAATGAAAGAAAGACGTTGGGATACCTTTACAATGAAAGAAAGACGTTGGGATACCTTTACAATGAAAGAAAGACGTTGGGATACCTTTACAATGAAAGAAAGACGTTGGGATACCTTTACAATGAAAGAAAGACGTTGGGATACCTTTACAATGAAAGAAAGACGTTGGGATACCTTTACCATGAAAGAAAGACGTTGGGATACCTTTACAATGAAAGAAAGACGTTGGGATACCTTTACAATGAAAGAAAGACGTTGGGATACCTGTACAATGAAAGAAAGACGTTGGGATACCTTTACAATGAAAGAAAGACGTTGGGATACCTTTACAATGAAAGAAAGACGTTGGGATACCTTTACAATGAAAGAAAGACGTTGGGATACCTTTACAATGAAAGAAAGACGTTGGGATACCTTTACAATGAAAGAAAGACGTTGGGATACCTTTACAATGAAAGAAGACGTTGGGATACCTTTACAATGAAAGAAAGACGTTGGGATACCTTTACCATGAAAGAAAGACGTTGGGATACCTTTACAATGAAAGAAAGACGTTGGGATACCTTTACCATGAAAGAAAGACGTTGGGATACCTTTTCAATGAAAGAAAGACGTTGGGATACCTTTACAATGAAGAAAGACGTTGGGATACCTTTACAATGAAAGAAAGACGTTGGGATACCTTTACAATGAAAGAAAGACGTTGGGATACCTTTACAATGAAAGAAAGACGTTGGATACCTTTACAATGAAAGAAAGACGTTGGGATACCTTTACCATGAAGAAAGACGTTGGGATACCTTTACAATGAAAGAAAGACGTTGGGATACCTTTACCATGAAAGAAAGACGTTGGGATACCTTTACAATGAAAGAAAGACGTTTGGGATACCTTTACAATGAAAGAAGACGTTGGATACCTTTACAATGAAAGAAAGACGTTGGGATAACCTTTACAATGAAAGAAAGACGTTGGGATACCTTTACAATGAAAGAAAGACGTTGGGATACCTTTACAATGAAAGAAAGACGTTGGGATACCTTTACCATGAAAGAAAGACGTTGGGATACCTTTACAATGAAAGAAAGACGTTGGGATACCTTTACCATGAAAAGAAAAGACGTTGGGTACCTTTACAATGAAAGAAAGTACGTTGGGATACCTTTACAATGAAAGAAAGACGTTGGGATACCTTTACAATAAAGAAAGACGTTGGGATACCTTTACAATGAAAGAAAGACGTTGGGATACCTTTACAATGAAAGAAAGACGTTGGGATACCTTTACAATGAAAGAAAGACGTTGGGATACCTTTACAATGAAAGAAAGACGTTGGGATACCTTTACAATGAAAGAAAGACGTTGGGATACCTTTACAATGAAAGAAAGACGTTGGAATGCTTTTTTTTTACAATGAAAGGAAGGACTGTCATCAGAGAACATCGTCTGCTCCACAAACATATAACAGACTGAAGAATGCTACAAATTTTCACGCTGTGGTCAGAAGGTAGAAAGACCAGACCCACGACAGAGACTATCTAATCTCTGAGTAATAATATTGGTATCTAAGCCCTGAACGGTAATATCCAGTCTCTGAAAAGTAATATCCACTCTCTGAATGTTGATATTCACTCTGAACAGTAATATCCATCCTCGGTAGGGTAATATCCAGCCTCTGTACGGTAATATCCATCCTCGGTAGGGTAATATCCAGCTTCTGTACGGTAATATCCATCCTCGGTAGGGTAATATCCAGCCTCTGTACGGTAATATCCATCCTCGGTAGGGTAATATCCAGCTTCTGTACGGTAATATCCATCCTCGGTAGGGTAATATCCAGCCTCTGTACGGTAATATCCAGCCGCAGATCAGGAACTTCTCACCTCTAATAACATTACATTTGGCCAAGGGAAATTCTGTTACAGCCATCTGCGGTGTGACAGCCTGCACGGGGTCTCAGGGATTTTTGGACA